CATTGGTTTTGAAGGCTGTAAATCTTTATGGCAGTAGATGGCCTCATCTTCCTCCCACAGAGCAGCTCATGGGTTTGAACCACCCACCTTCTGGTTAGCAGCCAAATGCCTTACCCACTGTGCCAACTGAGATACTTTAACATTATTTCCTTTTTGTCCCCTTCCCCCAGTTTAATAACCCCTTGATCTAAGTCTTTCCTGCTGGGTCTATGATGTCTCCTCCAGCCCCTCCCCTCTCCAATACTTAGGATGCTTATGTCTCTGAGCAATGTTCCAATCTCTCTCCCTCACCCTGCCCCCCAGAAAAGGTGTTTTGGGTATAAATACCTGCAAGCCGTAAACAAAATTCCTAGAAGACTAAAAGGCAGACTTGTGATAACTGTGCAAAGCTAAATGACAGGAACCAGAGCTAGAGTAAATACTGTATCTTAGAAAGGATGGTGGACACTGGGCCAATGGCAACAGACTTTATGATGAAACTTTCCTTGAGTTTGTCACATTCCTTGAGCTTGTTACATTAGCTTAAGAAATAGAACTCTAGAAAGCCAATATATGGGAGTTAATGTACATTGCTTAGCATTGCAAATGGGACCACACCCTGGAGAAGGATATATGCTTGGTAAAGGAGAGGGTCAGCCAAAAAGGGGCAGACCCTCAGTGAGATGGACTGAGACACTGGCTGCAAGGATGGGCTCAAGCACAGCAGTGATTGTGAGGATGGTGCCGGGCCAGTGCTTTGTTCTGTTGCACACGGGTACAGTTGCTATGAGTCACAGCCAACTTGCCGGCACCTAACAACAATACAGTAAAACGAAAGAGGTTTGTAGGGAATCAACTAATGGATTAATGAATATAAAAAGAAGATAGAAAGATTCAGTGTTTTAGTACTGAAATTTAACATGTGCTTTGTTTTCTTAATCTTATTAAAGGATGAAAAACCGAAAAACTCACCGCTGTCGAGCTGGATAAGACTCATAGCGACCCCTCCTTGGGTTTCCCAGGTGGTATCTCTAGGGAAGTAGATTGCCCAGTGGTCCTTCCGAGGAGTGGCTGGTGGGTTTGAACTGCCAGCCTTCTCGTTAGCAGTCAAATGCCTTAGGCACCACGCCACCAGAGCTCCCAAATTGAAACACTCTTTTTTCCATTTCTACAATACCTTGTGTTAGGAGTTACTCAAAGCAAAGTGTAGGTGGAATTGATGTTCAGTATTGTGACCTCTTTCTCTGCCCCTTTCCCTTCCTTCAGACTTCTCCTTCCAGCACACTTCACCCACAGTTAGCTTCCTAGATTAGCTTGGCTCTCTGGCGTTATGCCTGTTGTCATAACACGACGTATTTGCCCCTTCCTCACACCTGTCTCACTGGTGGAATGACTTTATTTCTAATGCACAAGCTCTATGGGGGCAGGTAGAGTGTGTGTCATACAATTGCTGTGATACAAACACTGGTATTGTTGTTGTTGTTAAGTGCCGTCAAGTCGTTTCCGACTCATAGCGACCCCATGCACAGCAGAAAGAAACACTGCCCGATCCCGCGCCAGCCCCACAATCCCTGCTATACTTGAGCCCATCATCGCAGCCACCACATCAATCCATCTCGTTGAAGGCCTCCC